GAACTCGGACAACTAGTAAAAAAGAAAAATGCCTCTGCGCCTGTTTGGGACTATTTTGGGTTTACTCGTCGCCAGTGACTTCATCCAGCAGAACGAGAGACAGAGGCACTTCTTTGGGAATGTTTAAGACGGGGTGAGTGAGTGTTGACATTTTTTAATCCTATGCAACTGGTTGATGGTTCACGCGAGTAATCCAATGAATCAAATGGAAATAAGGTTTTTAACATATGCACGGAATAATATTGCCAAACTAGTTACTGAATATAGCAAACTTTATTCAATAAGTCAAGTATTTACTCCCGGAAAATGTTTATGTATGATGATATATTGTTAACTTAGCTCACTATGGAAACAACGTCGGACATCTACAAACGCGTCCTGTATCCGATCTCAAAATGTGCCATTTGCACAATGTGTCATGTATGCAGCCCTTGTTTTGCACTTGCGCGCACGTCGCGGCACTTTGCGAGCGTCTACCGGCTCGGGCTGCATTTTACACCGAACATATAATATACCGTTCGAAACATCTATTTGACGCCGAACGCCACCTCACTCAAGTCGACCCAAGTCATACCGTCAGTGGCGGCTGGTGGAAAATATTTTTGGTGGGGCTGTTGATATAGTGAGTAAAATATTTTTTTTTGGGAGAAATTACCCCTTAAATTGGGACTGATACCGTCATATACCGTATACCACGGTATGATGGCAGCAAGGTATGACGGTATGAAAAAAAAGATACCGCCCATGCCTACTCCCCGACACTATTTTTTTCGGCCCCGGGACGACGGGACGTCCTTAAGCCCCAGTCCTGAAACAGAGGTGCGAGGATGTTCTGTTGGAATGCATTCACATTCATCAAACCTCACTTTACAAATGCTCTGATATATTTAAAGAAAATAATTGTAAAAAAGAGGCAATTTTATTATTTATATCTCGTTATTTTTAAGAGTTTCAATTCAAATAATTGTATTCACAATAGTTAAAAAGTGAATAAGACAGGAGATATGTGAAATGGAATACCCCAATAAGCCTTAGAATAGGGGCCCAGACTCCAAAACTAAAGTATTTAAAATATATATCACCAACACATCTAGAATTGGAGAGAGTTCATGTTTAATACAGAAACATTACAAGCTAAAAATATTTAAACTAACCAAAGATACTAAAGAATAAAAAATAAAAACCTACTACTCATACTTATGTACATTTAATGTTACAGGGATACTTTTACAACTGCTGGCAATATGCCATCGCTTAGCAACTTTAACTTCGATGCATTTACATTTTTTGTGTCATGTCAGATTTAACAAAAAAAGAAAAATGACTCCCACCTAATGGAAAATAACACCCCCTTCTTTGCTATAAAAAAATAAATATTCAGTCGTTATCGTCATTACCAAATACTTATTGATTTTCTGAATTCAACCCATTTAAAGCTATTCTTTGATATAATGCAGGAGTCTTTTTCTATAATAAATCAGCACTTACGGTACAGGGATGCTGATGACCACGTCGTTGAGCTCGAGGCTCTCCTCCTGCAGCTCGTATTCGATGTTCACATCACAGCCAGTGGCGCTCTCTGAAGGCCAGCAGTTTACTGTGGGAGGAATCGGACACTTTTAATATGTCATACGTCACATTAGAGTCTTCATGTACAAACTAGCCTGTCAAAAGGAGACGATGAATAACTGTATGGCTCTACGAGTCCCTCAGGAGAAGCACACTCACTGGTTAGAGGTATGAGGGCCTCGTCTGTGGTCTGCAGTCTCCACTTGAGCACACCGACATCGTTGTTGAGAGGGAAGGACTTCTCCGGGTTCTTCAGGCCGATCACCGAGTCAGTTGTGAACAACTTCTTGTCCACGTTGGGATGTGTCTGAGGAGGGAAGAACGGAGACACATTTAATACGTTATTAAATGTTGTGAAACTAAGAAAAGTTGTATGTGGATGCATGTAAGCATTACGAAAATGAGTTTCGTTACCCATTCCTAAATGAAAGTAGTTTGCCATTTAAAAACTGCGAGATGTTCGTGGTGCTCTTACTCTGAAGGCAAACTCCTAACCCCTTTCATTTGAAATGAATCACTCCCTTTATCTTTTGGAATTAGTTTTTTATTTTATCAAGCTAGGATTGATAACAAAATGACAATTTTGTAAATTTTTACATGATCCCTTACCAGTGGCGAGCAGTCAGGGCCCTCTAGGCCCTCTGTGAGGGCCTAAGATATTCTAAAAAATAATATTTGAAAAAATAAACTTTTTTTTTTTTATTATATTTTTTATATTTTTTTGGTGTTAAGTTTTTCATTAGTTTTACCAAAATAACTTGATTTAATTGTATTTAAAATAACATTTCCAAAGAAATAAATCCTTCAAATCTGCCTGTTCAGTTTCTTTTGGAATGTGAAGGGTTAAATGCCGTCTCTGCGAGTACTGTGAAGACGGGAGAGCTTGTTGGTCCCGCTGTAGATTCACAGAGGGCCCGCTATTGTAACTCAATGAGAGAGTAATGTCAAATGACAGTCCAATTGACCAATCACATCTTCCCTCTAAATGGGCGGGCTTTATTTTTTAAACCCGGAAGTAAGCCGCGCTCGGATTCCCTCGACAGAAAGCAATGGGATTTCTCCATAGGATTTTGGAAAATAGCTCGAAATAAGGTCTGTGGAAAACGGTATAAAAGTCACGGCTCGCCACTGTCCCTTACATATAATATAACCTTCATCTTTACCGTCTGTCACATTATTGTCTCAGAATATGTTGAGGATCTTTGGTAAACGTACTTGCAGCTGCAGCCCTTTGTTGTCGTTGTTGTTGATGATGAGGCGGATGCGTCCGCTCTTCTCGTCTGTGACTCGGAGCGTGACCATGCCCAGCAGCTCCATGTTCTGAAGACCGCCGTCACGGCCGCAGGTCAGCGAGATCTTCTCCTCCACACGCAGATGTACGCTGCAGAGGGAAACAAACCCAAACAGACTTCAAGTCATGGACAAACCCCAGAGAAGACTCAGGTAATATTTATGAGTTGTGCAATAAAGATAATTTCACAATGAAGAGTTTTAAACCAAAACTCCTGCACATGTAACACATGTATTAGAGTGTGGAGTAAAGAATTCATTTACAAACAGCAAATGGGCTATTCAAAAACCATCAAAGACTATTCAAGGCAAGTACATTATTATTACAAGAGGACATGAGAGGATTCGCTTGTTGGTTCTTAAGAAAAACCTCCCAAATATTGTAGATGGACAACCCTGCATGCATCTAATGTCAATATATTGAATTCCATGTTCAGTTAAAACAATATAATAATTGTATAATAGTACATGAAACATAACACTTCTTAATTATTTGAATTGAAAACTGCTTAACGAAAAGATTGGTGTCAGTATGACAAAAAGCAGCTCTTGTTGCATTCAAGTCCATATCATTAATCACTTTCGATTGTCAATATATGAACTTTTCGACTCTTGGTTTGCTATAACTTAAACAGATTCTTTGTAAAAGACATTTGACGTTCATGCTATCCCTCTTTTCAGCCCCCATGCAGCTCCTACAGTGTGCAGCTAAAGCAGCTAAAAAGGGGATTACTTCAGGTAACTCATCCAGATCCCGAGGCTGATCTGGCTCTTAAATTGTCTAGCTTCCAAACGTATTATCAGCTAACTTACTAAGCAACCAATCCATGTAGCTTAAGTAGCTAAAGTACAGCTAACTGGCTGATGTATCTTACCTACGGTATGGTTGCTTTGTAAATTCAGCTGAAATGTTTAAACCGACAAGCTTGTTTGTATCCTGGAGCCGATAATCCCCAAAAAATATAATAATAGACATTCTAAATATGTGATATATGATTTCAAAGTCAAGTCAATGTTTTGGCTGAAGCACAGCGACTACCGAGTGTGAAAACAGGATACTGACTGCAGTTCCCTAAACATCCATCAGTGTCCACAGGGGTTATTTGAAGGTTCTACATAGCACCTTGAAATAACTTATGGCGCATTTCCACTGCAGCGCGTAGCACGCTTTAAGCGTGCCGTGCCAAACCCGGCCCGTTTTTTGTTGCGTTTCCACTAGGGGTAGTTCCGGCTAGCGGGTACTGTTTCACAGTTTTTCTACAGTTTTTCTGGCCCCATAAAATCGTGGTTCTAGGGCCAGACAACCGGGCTGAGTCGGGCTGAGTATGCTAAACTAGAGAGAGAATCGCTGGCAAGGGGGCTACAACAAGATGAACATATTTTACCGTGATTTAATTGTAATACACGTTTCAAAATGATGCAGAAGTAACAACATACCGGTTAGTAAAAACCATGCTTCGACAAGTCTGCAGATAGACGGCAGGCGAAAAACCTTTTAAAAAGCGTGTTTTCTGAATGGAGATCGGCTAAGCTAACGCTTTATATGCTCCGACCGTCCACACTCACAACAACGGCCTATACAGACATAAATAAAGCAGCGACTGTATTCGCCATGACACAGACAGTCTGTGGTTTGTACTTGTTTAACTTTTGTCTAGTTTCTGAACAGATGTGAGGAGCTGCAAGCTCTGAGGGCTAATAGCTAACGGCTGATGTTGTTTTTCTGTTGTTCTCATTGAAGATGACGTCACGGCTCCGCCTACACTGCGTTACTATAGTTTCTACCCCTGGTACTAAACTGTAATGGAAACGCAACATTAAGTGAGCCTGGCCTACCAAGGCCTAACTATACCGTACTAAGCCGTGCGAGGCCCTGCAGTGGAAATGCACCATAATGGCGCATTTCAGAGCTGAAGCCACTTCTATGTCTATGACAAAGTCTTGACTATTTTATCTGTTTTTAGAATAAAGCTTTGAGGCACTTGCAAAAACGAACAATTGCAGAGTAATAAACAATATATATATAATTAGTCATAAAGGTTGCGGTGAGTCTTTACCCCTCCACATTGACTGGTGGCGGCAGAGCTTTAGATACATCGGAGCCTCTCTTCCCTGAGGTTGGCATGATGGTTTCACCCTCGGACTTGAGCTTGTCAACAAAGTTGTCCACCTCCTTCCCTTTAGCGCCCAGTTTCAGAGCCTTGCTGGGTCCACTTTGTCTGGAAAAAGAAAAAACATCACAACAGGGTTTTCAACAACTAAAAACAGAATCAACCATTGAACACAGCCTGTAAACAGCAATGAAACCCAATACTAGTTACCTTATGCTTCAACAGCTAGAGGGCATTTCCACATTGCTTTATTATGTGTTGGTACTTCCGGTTAAAGCGTAATTACTATTACTTCGCCAGCTTTGTCAACATTTACTTACCAAACTTTTTTTTGTTGTTATTAAGCTTTTGAATGTGTGTCTGAGTTTATCCAAATAAAGCATTCTTGAGAATATATTTATTAGCAATGTTTGGAGCTGTAAAAAGAGGTGGTCTGCCTAAAGAAAGCACTTTTCAACAAAATGTTTGAATGTTTTACATGGGTAGCTAATGTAAACTAGATGAGGTTGATAGATCACGATGGTTTGTAGCTTGTAAAGAAGATGGCTAACGTTTGCTGGCTTGTTAGATAGATAGATAGATATATGGCTAGAAAGCTAATGTTTGCTAGTTAGGTAAAGTTTGCTATCTTAATAGCTCACTGACAGGTTAATTTAATCTCAATGTGTTCAAAAAATGTCAACACTGTGGACTGTGAGAGTTTATTATCTGTCGACGTGAGCGTTAGTTAACAGTCTGAGCGGCTGATATGCTTTGTTACTTTTTGTAGCTCCTCATAGAGCCTTCGACACCAAAAGACACTACAGGGTTATTTAAAAGTCTCCTCATATAGCTTTTGGGCAATTTTACAGCCGACGGATGTGGTAACGTAGACCATTCCATCACTGCAGTGTAACTGTAAATGATCCAAATAAATGTGTTATTGTTAACAATCCTGCAAGTGCTAAATTGAAAGAACTTACACATATGCGTTTGAACAGGAAGTGGGGAAAGGGGCGGGGCTTCATAAAGTGAATGGCAAAACCAGACGTATTTCTTGGAGTGGTACCTGGCGGTGGCTGGTGTGATCTTGGGCTTCTCAGGCTCCACGATGGTGTCTGTGATGATGGACCCTGAGGACATGCTGGTCATGCCGGGTGCGCTGCCGAAGCCTCCGTAGGTCGACACCTTCTTTCCAGAGCGCTCAGCGTCCCTCCTGGCCTGCTGCAGCTCCTTGGCCTTTCTCCTCATCTCTGCCTTAGCCTCTCTTTCCTGGGTCTGTGGATAAAAAACAAAAATATTTTCTGTTTTTATAAACAATATAAGTTGTACACAGAAAGAAACACATGGTTTTCACTTGTGTTTTGATGGCTGAAAACCTGTGCCGTGTTGTGAATACATTTTTAACTAATGGATAGAAACGGTAACCTCATCTACCATGTGATACAATGCACACTTTGTATAAGATGTAAAAGCACATTGCTGACAAGACAGCCCCATGGAGATGATTAAAATGTGTCTTGTCTAATAAACCTGACGGATGCAACAGTGTGATCTCACCTCTCTGACAGCCCGGAAAACCTTCTCCTCGTGGGAATCCATCTCTGTGAAGGTGCGGATCTGAGCCAGGTTGACGTTCTCTCTGTAGCCTAGTGCAACGATCTCATCGAAGGCAAAGATCAGGTCGAAACAGTGATCTGATATTTCGCTCTCCTCTAGCACACGACAGTATTCTGGGATCTGGAAGGGGAAGGAGGAACAAGTTAAATCAGACAATTAAAGAAAAGTAAGCATTTTGAGATAAAGTGAAAGCACAAGTGGCACGGGTCAGTAATAATTTCTACATGAGTCTTGGCTAAAAGCATGACTGCTGACAAATCCACTGAACACTAGTTGCTGTACAGTATTAAAAGGCAGTGCTGGATGTTCAAAACTCTGTGTATTATTACAGAGGTCAGGCCCCGAGTATAATTGTGGTATTGATTTATGAGTTTATGCTAATGGCCTCGATCATTTGAACATTATAAACTTATCTCACTAGATATGGATATGACCTAGATCATTCTTGTTTAGCTTCATTGCGTTCACATCTGTGTTTGTTTATATAACAGTTTAATTAACAACTTAGCCATCAGGATACCAGAATATTCCACAGGGTTTTTCTTATTAAAATCATATTGAGCATTACACAGACATTGCACAGTTTTGTTCAAATAGCCTGAGGGTTCATTTTACTTTATAATTGTAATAGTGTGGTTTTTACTATTTGTTGTTTTCCTTAAAGGTGGGGTAGGTAAGTTTGAGAAACTGGAATGCTCTTAACATCCCGATAGCAATGAATATCTTAAGTGCTTTGACAAAAAAATCCATTAAAAAAATGTCATCTGTGGAAGCCATAGTACTGTAAAAAGCACGACCAACCATTTTAGCCGGCCCGGCTAAAATTATTGGATGGCCTACCTGCCTGTCAGCCTTCCATCTGTGCACAAACTTATCTCGTGCCCTCATTGGTCATGTGCGCGTTCGTGTGTGTTGGAGGAGGGGCTCTGTAAGGAAGTGGCAGGTTTTTTCCGGCTGTGTATTTTCAAATTCTAGCGCACTCGAGCTGGTTTCTCCAAAATTACCTACCCCACCTTTAATTAAGGAAATTGTAGTATTTTCTCAATTCCCAATTCAAATGTATCTGTATGCAATACATGATTTAATTATGAAATATTATGCTTGGTATTTCAGGACTACTTTTTTAAAGAAAATGCAATACGAACATAAATCCCAAAAATCAACCCACAATGGGTTTTAGTACTAAAAAAATATATATATATTCAATTTCCTGCTTGCTTTTATCCAAAACATAAAAAGGGCAATAACATAAATGAAATAGTTAAAATAAACCAGCGGTGTGATATTTCTTGAAAATCAATAACATTTACTATAAAATACAGGAACCAAAGCAGTGCAGCATTATTGTGATAAATAATACATTTTGGTTTTAAAAAAAATGCACTTATTAGCTTTTAAGTCGCTTTATGAGTTGTGGTCATACTGTTTTCTCTGATGATACTTTAAAATTATTATATATATGATTAATATAACAACTACTTATTTTCCATATAATATTCTCCTAATTCAACGCTTTTTGAGATATGATATAAAAGACCCAGTGTTGAACATGACTTTGCCTAAAATTTGGACATCATTTTCTGGTCTTTAGTTTATTTTGTGTATGCAATGCATGTGTATTATATTTCAGCTAAAATTAAAATTAAGAAAAAATTGAATGGTTCATAAATGGTTGTACTTAGGAATTTATAATGGGGTATTAAAGAGGCAAACAGTAATCCATTATGTTGGTTTTAAGCTTCATATGTACATAGTGTTGGATTTTCAAATGCATACTCCTACATATAACGCCATGAATGCACACTGGGATGCTGAGGATGGCTATAGTACATGCTAAAATAACTCAAAGGAGAAAAACAAGAACCTGGCTGACAGCTTTCAGTAATTTGATGTGTGATACAGAAAGGGATCATTAAAGCAATTGCCATTCTCCACACTGCAATGTGTCATGTTACCTGTATATCCTCTTAATGAACATCATTCCTAGGCATAGGCAGAAACAGCTGCATGTTTCCTTACCACGCGGGAGAAGAGTCTGAGGGTCTCCAGGTCCTCCAGGATGTTGCTGTTCTTGGTGGTGATGAGGACCATGTAGAGTTTTTCCAAGGGCTGGTACACATAGCGAACACTGTCTGTTTCCACAAAGGTGTGCTGCTTGCCCGTGTTCATCAGTTTAGGGAATGCAGCCAGGAGACCCTCAATGCGTGTCCGGGTCATTTCCACAAACTGCCGCGATACGATGGCCTTGCCGGCCTTGGTGCACACCGCCGCTGCCAACAGCACCTGGAGGTGGAGAAAAAACAGACTGTTGTAGTACCTGCAGTGCTTCAGTTTTATTATTAATAAAAACACATTGTACATGCATACTTTATTTGAGCATGGAACTGTTAGCTCAAGGCAAAGGTAAGTCATGGGGATACATTAACTGTACTGTGCAAATGATACAGTTCCTCTTTCCTTTAACCCAAATTCTAATAATGTAAGCCTCTGTCTAGGGAGAGCACATCTTAGCAAGTCGAACATCATTAAATGAAATGTTTTCTTAAGACACATTTGTGTTTAAAATGTAGCCAATCCACCCTCTCACCAGAGGTCCTACTTTATTATTTGTTTGCACTGCTTGAGGCGACCTACTGTGTTAGGTTTTTTGTGGAAGAAGACTGTAGTTGCTGCATGGCAACTACCTATCCAACATGGCATTTTATTAAAACAATTACTACAACATGTCCCAAATGTGACATTGTTTATAATGAATTCAGAAAAGATAAGGTTGTGTTAACAATGTTTGTATGTCTGACAAGAAACCAACGGACCAACAATTCTAAAGGGGTCTGGTGAGGCTTTCTCAACACACTAGACTAGGAACACAGCAGTGTTGACCGGTACCATTCGTTTCCAATAAATTAACTAGTGGTTTTAAAGACACTAAGTAGATTACTCAATTACAATTTTGAGGAATTTGTACTTGACTAAAGTATTTCAATTTTGTGCTACTTTGTACTTCTAGCCCACTTCATTTGAGAGGTAAATCGTGTACTTTTACTCTACTACGTACATACCTTTAGCTACTTTGCAGAATTAGGAATAATGATGTCAAATATAATCAACCCTTAAATAAGACTTAAGTTACACCAGGAGGAGTAAATTCACAAGCTACCCTGCAGTATACAAAGTCATTAAAACAAGCTGCACCTTTACTAGCTGTGACAAACACTTAAATGCGTAAATGATATATACTTTTGTTCCTTTACTTGAGTTACATTTTGAATGCAGGACTTTATGCAGGATTGTGACATTCAGTGTATTTCTACATTTACTGAAGTACAAGATCTGAGTACTTCTAACACCCGAAAATAACTTACATAAAAATGTAAGTGAAGGTTCATTAAATTAAGCGTAATATGAGTACACTGTAAATTTCACTTAGGGAAATGAGGGAAGGAACTGTATGTATTCCACGTTGACAAGGGCTGAAGTTAGAAATGAAAGATACCGACTGCAACGGATCTGAACTTGATGCAGACAACCAACAACTGAGGTTAACGTTGACAGCCCTTTATACATGCTGTAACAACATGTTAGTAAACATGATCATGTATATATGGATTAAGATAACTTAATGACATTATATCGTGTTGCATGGCTTTAGACATAATGGCAGCAGGTAATGTTAGCTCGGGATAGGCTAGTGACAGGAGCTAACGCTAGCGCTAGCTTGTCAGGCTAGTTAACGTCAGCAATGTCTGCACACTCTGAATCAACTACTGACCTAAAATATGACTCTGTATAATGAAACGACGATTCATTTAGTTAATTTAAAGACATTAATGTGAAGTTAGTATTGTCAGAGCAGTGGAAACCAACGTGTGGTTTTCCTGTTATTTCGCTCTTGGACAGGCTAGCTAACTGATACCCAGGTTTAGCTAGTTGCAGGTTAGCCAGTGTTATGATCATTGCTAGGCCCGATGAAAGCCAGGGAAAGCCCGGATATTAGACTGTCACTCACCATTTTGGTCTCTCTCTATGGAACGACGATCTTCCGTCTCTCGTGTTTCTTGATTTGGTGATTTCTAGTCAGTCTGGAATAGAAAGGTGCGAATGTACAGCTGACTTCAAGTTGTGTGATTGTTAGCTAGCTAGCGTCAATATGGCAGCAGGACAGAGCCACGTCTCCACCGGAAGAGCAGCGGTAGAACTGCCCACCGTGGAAACCAGTGACGTGTTCACCAAAATGTTGGCCGTGTTGCATAAATAAGTTACTCGTTCTACTTCCACACACAGACGCTCCTTCCTCTTTTTCTCTTATTGAGACTCTCAATAAGGGAAAAGGATGAAGAAGCGCCCTATCTATTACTCTCAATTTGAGAGTAATAGATAGATAGATCCATATAAATTAGATAGATCCAGCTACCGATGTCTACCTTTAATCCATATTCCGTATTAACAAACCATGGTTGTAAGCATTTTCATTTCATTTTGAGTTCATACTGTATGTGATATAGTTTACTGTATTTTATATATGTATATAAAAAGCACATACTTGCAAAAAACAACCATATATAACGAAGTTCTCCATAAATAAACAATAAAATACAACATTTATTTTCTGTTTTTACAAATAACCCAATAACAAAATGAACTGTAGGCCTATTAGTTCCCAGTAATACTTCTTATAATGTTGAACATCCACTTAAAATAATCATACAGCAATAAAACAAACTCCAAATGTAACGTCTGGATGCCAAACGCCTTTAAAAACACACATATGTAGAAGAAACCAAACGTCAGATTGCAGAGGTGGGAGAAGTACTCAGATCTTGTACTTAAAGCAGTGGTTCTCAAACTTTTTCTGTCAAAAAAAAAGTTGCCCCCCCCAACACAAATAGTCACGTAATGGGCCAAGTTAACATTTATTAAAATACATCAATATGAACGTGAGCAAAAAAGTGCTATTTGGACCTAACATCCTAGGGGGGTCCGGGGAAGATTTCTTTTTAAATATTGAAGTTAAAAGCATCAATCTGGTGCACTTTGAGAGCAAAATGAAGAGATATATGGATACATCTCTCAACACCCATATGAAACACAACTGTAAACAGATTTTCTTTTTCTTTATGGATATTTTAATAATCACTCCTCTTTTAAACTTTATTCTTGTTTTAAAAACAGGTATGAAATACTGTATGACAGTAAAACAATAAGAGAATAAATGAAAATGTTTCATTTATTCTCTTATTTTTTTATACCCATAATGATCATATAAACGTGTGCCTCGGAAATAATTGTTTACATTAATCGTGACCAAACCGTTTGAGACCCTTTCTAGCCATAACCGTCTGACAGGAGAGGACTCTCTTCCACCTTGTTGTTGATTGATTTCCGGTATGTTGCGCTCTCGCTCGCGCACGCACACACAATGGCTCGTTCCACACAGAGCCGAGTTTGAATGAAACACAGAGACCCAGACGGCTACTTGTACTGTAGCATATTATTTTCGAATCAATATTTTTTTAATTTATGATTTTTTTTTATTGTCATAACTATTTTTCCTCCTGGTTTCTTGCGCCCCCCCTTGTCATGCCTCTGCGACCCTCACTTTGAGACACACTGACTTAAAGGTAGGGTAGGTAAGAATGGAGAAATCAGCTCGAGTGGCTAGAATTTGAAACTACGCAGTCAAAAAAAATCTGCCCCTTCCTTCAGACTTCCTTACAGAGCCCCTCCTCCAACACACACGACAGTGCACGACCAATGAGGGCACAAGATAAGTTTGTGCATGAGATGGAAGGCTGACAGGCAGGTAGGCCATCCAGTTATTTTAGCCGGACCGGCTAAAATAATTAGTCGTGCTTTTTACAGCGCCACAGCTTCTACAGATGACATTTTTTAATGTATATTTGTCAAAGCATTTAATGTATTCATTGCTATCGGGATGTTAAGAGCATTCCATGGAATATAACAAAAAGTGTTTCTGAAGTGAATTACCTACCCCACCTTTAGGTAAAAGTAGAAGTACCAGAATCTGTAACAAGTAAAAGTCCCGCATTCAAAATGTTACTCAAGTAAAAGTACAAAGTAATAGCATCAAAATAAACTTAAAGGAGACCTATCATGCTATATCTGAATAATATATTGTAGGGCCACGATACCTATATAAGGTATATTTATACGTTTTCTTTTTCAAAATACCAAACAGATCATGCATTTTAGCCATGCCTCATTTCGCTCTATTTTGCTCTCCTCCACCCTGTCTTTGCATGCGCTGCAGCATGCGGAGCTCCTCGTCACTGACGTCAGACTATTTTCAAATCTGTATCAGTCTGTATCAGATCCGTTGTAGCCCCGTTTTTAGAGATTTTGGGTATAGAGGATACCTGCCTGTCAGCCTTCCATCTGTGCACAAACTTATCTCGTGCCCTCATTGGTCATGTGCACGTTTGTGTGTGTTGGAGGAGGGCATGGAGGAGGGGCTCTGTAAGGAAGTCTGAATGATGTATTTTCAAATTCTAGCGCACTCGAGCTGATTTATCCAAAATTACCTACCCCACTTTTAATGCATCAATAATTATGATCAAAACATATAATATATATTATTCTGAAATGGACCAATCTGCATAATGAGTCATTTTACTGTTGGTACTTTAAAGGGGACCTATCATGCAAAATGCACCTTTGTACGTCTTTTATACATGAATATGTATCCCCGGTGTGTCAGGGAACTCACCAAGTGTCAGAAAACACAACCCTCTCAGCCAGGTAGGCCATCCAGTTATTTTAGCCGGGCCGGCTAAAATTATTGGTCGTGCTTTTTACAGTACTACGGCTTCCACAGATGAAATGTTCTCAATTTGATGAAAGTTTCTCAAATGTACCTACCCCACCTTTAATAGATTACTTGCACAATTTCACACACCTCTTTAACTCTATTTAAATGTGATCCCAAGTTAACCACATTGTGTGTATTTACTTGAGGTTTATTCTTGCTAATGTCAACATCTACTTGGAATATACAATCATAATTAAATGGATCGATCATAAAACCCTCGATCACTGACTGATCCTCACGCTAGCCGCTGCTCGTGGAGAGAACTAGAAGGCGGAACCAGGAAATGACCTCTGGAAGGTCCAATGACATCACAGCCTCGGCGTTCACTCATGAGGGGCTGAATGAGAGTAGCACCCTGACTTTTTTCAAGGATTTCGTGTTGTTTAATGGTCTCTGAGTCAAGCAAATCGCGCTGTGGATCCTTGCAAGAACGGTGGGGCGAACCGGATCAAGGACATGTCGGCGGAAGGAACTTCTCTGGTAGGTTTTAAGCAAATTAACCCGGTGCTTTGCGCCATGCATGGAGAACCTTCTGTACTTGCTGTGGATGGCAAACGCCATTTCCGTATGCTCTGTCATTTGGAGAGCGGTGATTGGTTAATCCGTGTGTCTGTTCCAGTGCTTGGGTTCTCATTGGTCGAGCAAAAAGAGAGTCGTCAAACCTTGACACCATGGACAGATGCGAGCTAGAAAAACATAATGAACATGTTTAAGAGTTGAGTTTGAAATGATAAATGTTGAGGTCATAGACTAAGTTTTTAGGGTAATAAACTGCGATAACAGACTAGTAATATGTTGTCAACAAGCTGTAAACTTTACCCATCCAGTCGGTGTCTGTTTAACTTTGCAACCCAGAATGTTGGAAGGACACTCCAAAACATATGGTGGTTAACTTCCATTAAGATATATATTGGGAATTGCAAAATAAACCATCAGAGGAGTTTCGTTTTAACTGCTTTAATAGCTTTATTACACTTTTACAAAATAGGCAGCTGATCCGCTCTCCGACGTTACGTGTTATGATATTTTTTCACCCTAAATTACTGCAGACTGCAAGACACTTCACCCCAAATTACTCCTGTGGGGATTGTCCACAGTACTGAATGTATGTAAATCGCTTTGGATTAAAGCGTCTAACAAA